CCCACATGGAAGAAGCACACCAGCCTGTGTGGTCATGAGGTGTTGACAGGATCAAGTGACAGGCATCAGAAGACCCAAAACAAACAAACAAACAAACAAAATATATTGTTGAGAATGAGGGGGCTCAGAGTATAGACCCCAAACCCATCTGTAGACAATGGAATATCCCTTCACAGAAGGGTCACAAGAAAGGGATGAGTCAACCAGAGTGCAGTATAGCACTGATGAAACACAACATTCCTCTGGTTCCTTGAGACTTCCTCACCCCCCACTATCATGACCCCAGTCCTGTCTTTCAGTTCTGGCTAGACTGGAGCACTGCTACAAATAAAGCGCAGGACACATGGAATCCAAGTCAGATAAACCCTCAGGAACAGAAATGGGAGTAGGATACCAGGAGGTTCAAGGGAAGGTGGGGAGAGGAGGGCAGGAAAAGGGAACCAATCACAATGATGGACACATTACCACACACCCCCTCCCCCAGGGGAATGAACAACAGAAACCATGGGGGAAGGGAGATAGCGGTCGGTATAAGATATTAAAATAATAATAACTTATCATTTATCAAGGGGTCACAAAGGTGGTATTGGGGAGGGAGGGATAAAAGAGGAGCTGACACCAAGGGCTCAAATAGAAAGCAAATGTTTAGAAAATAATGATGGCAGCATATGAACAAATATGCTTGATACAATAGATGTTATAAGAGCTATAAGAGCCCCCAATAAGATAATCTTTAAAAAATAATAATAAAATACAGTATCAGAGCAATGGTCTAAGGTTGAAAACATATATATAAATAATTTTTTTTAAAGCTAGGCTCATGATTAAAACCACCACCTCCCCTTCCACCATATCCCATTGAACAAAGCCCAACTCAGGGTGAACCCTGTAGAGTAAAATGCACTCCATGGGGTTTTGAAGGCTCTGAACTTGCAGAAGTAGATCACCAGGCCTTTCTTCTGAGTTACCCTTCAGTAGGTTTGAACTGCCAACTTCTGGGGCTAGTAGAGCAGCATCTAACTGTTGGCGCCAGCCAAGGACTCAGAAAACATGTCGGACTTGCCTTTTCCAGACAGGGGGTGTTCCTTAGGTTTCTGGAGATGCCTTTGACCTGGGGGTGGCAGATTTGACACGTGACATCAGGGCAGGCCTTGAGGAGACCCCAACATGTTTCCTGTGGAGTAGAAAAGCCCAGCAGGCTTCTGAGGTGGGTGGCAGAGCCAGAGCTCTGCACCAAGAGAGAGAAGCCAGTAGCCATCTGCTGGAGCCCCCGAGGAGGTGGGGGCTGATGGGGGGATGGTTAGTGGACAGACAGAGAGGTCCAGGCATGAGGTGCTGCAGCCTGAGCTGAGAGGATGAAACGGTGGTGGTGGCTTGGGCGATTTCTAAGAAAGAAGCAGCAGGCGGAGGTTTGGGAGGAGGAGTCTAAGACTGTGGGAACAAGGCTGAACCTGCTTTGGGCCCCACAGACTGAGGGTGCCAGAGGCACCAAACGGAAGGAGGGTCGGAGACAACACTTGGGGACTGTAAGCCGGGAGGCCCGTGACTCACCACAGCAGGGGCTTCAGGTGCTGGGGGGCATCCTCCACAGGCTTAGGAATAACTTTTTGCTCAGAGAAGACCATAGTGGTTCTTAAAGGAGGCTGCGCAGGAAGTGTAGTGATTACCTGCTGGGCTGCTAACTGCCAGGTTCGGTGTTTGAACCCGCTCTGTGGGAGAAAGACGAGAAGAAAGGAGTGGAGACCCTCTCAGCTCTGACATCCTGAGATGCCCAGAAGCCATGCCAGGGTCAAGAGCCCCGAAGGGAGGTACAGAGACCGCTCAAAATGGGTGGGAGGAAAGGCATTGTGTGGCTAGTCCACAGCCAGAGAAACTGAGCTCTCACCCGGCCCTGAGCCCATTCTGAGAAAGAAGGTGCTCGGGGTGGACTTGTGTGCAGGTCCTGACCTCTCTACCTGAGAAGGAGACCCTGTTTAGAAACAAGCATTCTTTTGTAGTGATAATGAAGCCAGAGTCGGATGGCTCCTACACCTAATCCCTTCGGAGTCTCCTAAGGAGGGTGGGCACAGGGGGTCTCAGGCCCACTGTGCCACAGGGCTCCCGACTACCAAGACAGGCAGGGAAATGGCCCCCTGAGGACACTATGTCCTCAGCTCTTTGAGGAAACTGCTGAGGTGCCTTAGCTCCTCAAGGGACCTTCTGGGAGGACAGGTGTGGCAGTTACATAATCTGGTCAATTTGAGACCATTAAAAGTGAAGGGGTGGGGCTTAGCCTGTCAATCAGGTCGCAGCTTGATGACCTCGTTTGGAGGGGCTACAGAGATGAATAGCTCACTGGAGGCCAGACACTCCCTGTGAGACATTCCTGTTGACAAGCCACATGGAGCTATGATGATGGAGCCAGAGCCCTGGAGCTGAGGAGCCAGGTAGAGACCCATGTCAGCACTGAGATGCTTCCACCACCACTGGATCCACAAGACTTTCCACCCACTGGCCTGTGATCTTTCATAGCATGTGTTGCGTGAATCTGAAAAGGGATTTATGGACTGGTATTGGATACATGGGCTAATATCGGACTTATGGACTTGAACTGGACTGGGCTGGGATGTTTTCTTAATATATAATTACTCTTTGATATAAAGCACTTTCTTATACGCATATGAGTCTCCTTAGATTTGTTTATCTAGTCTACCTGGACTAACACAATAGGCTAAACCAAAGAAAAAGAAAAACTCTTGTTGCCATTAAGTCACTGCTGACTCTTAGCAACCCCTTGTGGATTTAGGAGACTGTCACTGTTCGTGGCAATAGAAGCCAGGTCTCCCTCCCAATGAGCTGCTAGTGGTTTCAAACTGCCGACCATGCAGACCACAGCCTGTTTCACCAGTTGACTAGAGAAACGAATCCAGAGACACTCATATCTGTATAGGAGAACTTTATGTCAAGAAATGATTATACACGGAGAAAACGTTCCAGCCCTGTCCAACTCAAGTCTGTAAGTCTGATGCTAGCCCAGAAGTCCCTCGTCAGACTCACGCAGCCACACGCAGTGATGCAGAATTCAGGAAGGTGCAGTTGATCACAGGACTCTGGGAGCAAGCAGGGTCCACAAGCAGAAAGGTGGAGGCAGAGAGTGGAGGAGGAGTGAGAGGTTCCCAGGACCCTCCTTATGAGAAAGCCACGCCCACACGGAGGCACCATCAGCCTGGATGACAGGTTGAATACCACCTCTACACTTTCCTGTATCTGCAAGTTGGCGTGAAATCATGTAACCACCACACAGCCCAACAAGGGGTCACCGCGACGCCATTAGCGTTCCTTAAAAGGAGCTCACGTGCTCAGACACCCAACTCACTGCCATAGCCCATTCTGACTCACGGCCACCCTCTAAGACAGGGCAAACCTGCCCCTTTGCGTTGCTGATGCTGCAGCCCGGCACGTAACCACGGTGCTCCCAGGGCTCTGCCTTCCCACCCAGTGACACCGTTCTGAGAGTCAGAACCAGGGTCATCTTTCTTTCTCGGGAAAGTGGATGGGGTCATGTCCATGGTCAAGTCCATTCTGACTCATGGTGACCCAGGATAGAACCACCCTAGGGGGTTTCTCTAGGCAGAACCCATTGGGGAGTTGATAGCCGGGGGGTGGGGGGGTGTCCCTGATTGTCGCTGGTGGGTGCCAACCCTGACCTGTCAGCCAGCAGCCAAGCTCTCACCCACTGGGCCCTCCATTGGGTGGGTGACCCAGCCCAGGAGCTGAGTTCTGCTGCAGGCAAAAACACCCCTCTGTCTCACTTCTGCAGCTACCTGAGATCATGTGACCGCAGCTTCTAGCCGGCCCCTGGTTTCCTGTCCCATCTGTGAGCGGGCCTGGGCCAGATGGTGGCAGAAAAGGCTCTGGCTGGGAAGTCTGGCCTGCGAGAGGCCTGGTTTGGCTCACAGCTCTCTCACGATGACACTGGCTGCCCACTGACAGGGCTTGGGTCTCAGTGCTCTCCTCCTTTAAACCCTGCTGTGCGCGGTGAGGGAGACTGCGTGGGAGCAGGCTTCCGAGGCCGCAAAATGGGGTGTGTGCATGACTGCCCCCAGCTAGGAAATCCCACCTGCTTCAAGGAGCGTTGCTTCTCCATCCCGTCCGGTGGCGACTCGATGGCAGTAGGTTGGGGTTACCACCTTTGGTCCCTTGGCCACCAATATGCTCTGTCTGTCCGACCACCCCTTGCTGGCCTCGGGTTCCACTCACAACTGCCTCTGGGACCCACAAGCCCTCCCGGGGTGGAGACATGCCAGTGACCCGCCACACAGGCCTAGGCTTGAAGCCTCGGGCCTCCTCCAGGGCCCAGAGGGGCCCAGAGCACTCACCAGGTCTCTGCAATCCCTTCTGACCTTGGCACCCACCATCAGTCTGAGCTTCAGGGAAAGTGGGGGGATGGGGAGGGGGGTTGAACCAGGGCCTTGCAAAAGCAGAGTCCTCATGCCGGGGCCGGAAAGAGCCACAGGTGGAAAGTCCAGCACACAGCCACAATTTCCTCTGGCCTCTCAGCTCCTCCCCTCCCGAGCAGGGCAGCTGTGGTCACAGGGGGGAGAGAAGGCGTCCTCCCCAGAGCCCCCAGAGTGCCTCGCCGATGACTGGACCAACCTCCAGGCCAGAGTCCCCCCAGGAGTTCCTACCCCAGGCCTCCATCCTCCCTGGGTCTCCCACTTTCCCAGCCTTGGCCTTGCTCATTTTTTCTGTCTCAGGGGTGCCAGGGGAGCTGAGTAGCATTAGGCCCCGTTATGGCTTCCTGTGGCCCCCAGCACAGAGGGAGAGGGCCCCTGACCCGGAGAGCCCCGGCCCTGCCAGTGCTGCTGCTGCTGCTGCTGTGCTCAGGTGAGGAGAGAGAGGCCAGGGGGGAGGGAGGGCAGTGTCCGCAGACTCGGAGGACAGCGGGCTGAGGGGCTCTGCAGCCAGAGGGGACGGCGGGCAGGCTCGGAGCGTGGCCTGACCAGCGCCTTCTTCTCCAGGCTCCCGGACACTGGCTGAGGTGAAGGGCCTTCAGTACGTGGCAGGGCAGACCCTCAAGGTGAAGTGCCAGTACCCGCCCCAGAGGGCTCCCTACGAGAGGAAAGGCTGGTGTAAGGGGCTGTCCCTACACGGGTGTCTGAAGTTAGTCTCCACCTCTGAGCCCCAGACACAGACCCAGGCCTCTCGCTTCACAATCTGGGACAACCCCAGTGCCGGCTTCTTCACCGTGGTCATGGCCGATCTGAGGGAGGAAGACTCGGGCCACTACTGGTGTCGAAACTACCCCACTTCCAGACACTCCGCGTCTAGGTCCATGAAGTTCTACATTTCGGTGTCTGCAGGTGAGCCTCTTTCCTGTAGCCCCTGAGAGGGGCCTCTCCCTGACCATGGTAGCCAGGCCTCCTGAGTCCTGAAGATGTTGGGACATGTTCGTGAGACCCACATGTGTACACACACATGCACCCACATGCATCCCAGTACATGGCTGGGTTCCATGTCTCTATAAGCCTGTGGCCAATGACCTCCTCCAAGACATCAGCTGTGTGTGCTGAGCCTGGGGGCCCAGGACTGCCTGGCATTGTGGAGAAGGGATTCGTAGCGGGCACATGCTGCGTGAGTCCATCCCTGCCACGGGCCACTGGAGACCCTTGTGGGCTTCTTGGTGTGAGCGTGAGGGCCTGCCAAGCCCTTCTGGTCACGATCAGAGGTCAGCCAACGGCAGACTGAAGCTAAGAATGGGTCTGGGGTTTTCAAATGGCAGTGGCAGGGACTCCGGGGTAAAATAACATTCCATGGCATGTGGGAAGTTCTCAGGAATTCACACGCCGGCGTCCATTCATAAAGTTTTACTGGCACGCCACCACGCCCATGCATTTGCTTCTATACTTTTTTCCCTTTGTTATGCTTTGAATGTACGTGCCTCTGGTTTTGACGGTGGGTTTGTTTCAAGAGCCAGTCCATCTCTGTACACCACTCACTGGGGCCTCGGCTGCCCCATTCACTGTAGCTGCAAAACTCAAGGGGGTTGCGTGGATTGATTTCCATTGCTACAAACACCAAAATGTAGCATCTGAAAGCCCCCGCGTCCACTCTGTTACTGGTCCGTGGATGAGAAGGCGAGTACAAGGTGGCCCAGACTAAGGCTAAGGGGCTGGTAGCCTGGATTCCTGCCTGGACGCTCCAGGGGCAAGAGTACCTGCTTCCTGTTCGTGCAGTTTGTTGGCAGAACTCGATTTTATAGGAAGGAGATTCTGTAGTGTGTGTGTGTGTGTGTGTGTGTGTGTGTGTGTGTGTGTGTGTGTGTGTGTGTTGGGTTTGTTACTGGATACAAACTGTGGCACATTTCCAGCTTGCAAGAGGCCACCATGTGCCATGGCTCGTGGCCCCTTCATCTGCTGAGCCGGGAAAAGCCGGTTGTGTGGCTCGGCCTCCAGTTACAACCGAGAGAGGTCCTCAGCTTTTAAAGACTCCTCGGATGCCATTAGATCCACCTGGATGATCAGTGCAGATGGTTACGGGTTCAGCTGCTCATCGGAAGGCCGGCAGCCTAAGCCCAGCCAGCAGCTCAGCGGGAGCAATGCCTGGTGATCTGCTCCTATTAAGATGACTGTATTAGTCTGGGTACTTTAGAGAAACAAATCCACAGAAACTCGTGTATAAGAAAGAATTTTATGTCAAGGTTAGGTGCGCATCAAGAAAATATCCCAACCCAGTGCTGCCCAACCCCACAAGTCCAACATTATTAACCCATTAACCCACATGTCCGCCACCATTCCACAAAGTTCTCCTCCATCTCACAAAACATACGCAATGAGGCCGACTGCAGGAGGAAAGCCAAGTCAGTGAGTGTGTAAGCATCTCAGCGCTGGCAGGGGTCTCCACCCGGCTGCTCCAGCACCCAGTGCTGCATCGGGGTAGGTCCATGTGGCTTCTCCTTGGGGATGCCTTGCAGGAAGTCAGCCTTGCCAGCTGAAGCAGGGAACTGGCTAAGGCAGCTGCACCCTGGTGCGACCATCACAAAGCAAGAGACCCGAGAACTCGAAAGGCGAGGCTCACCAAGCCATTTAACCCTCCGCCCTTCAATTAATCCCACATGTGTTTATTGGCCAGGTCTATGACACCCTGGGAAAGCCCATGGGGGCAGCTCTGCGCTCTCTTGCCAGGCTGCTGTGAGCCAGGACCCAAAACCACAGTGACTCCATGTGGTCAATGACAAACAATTCATGGACCAGCGCTGATCACACACAAGTACCGCTGGTGTAGACTATTCCCCTCATTGGATGCAGAGATTGTCCCTGGTCTCTGAGGCTGTCTGAACTGCCGAGCAAGAACAGCCCCTGTGCCCACACACACTTTGGGGGCAGCCTTGGGCCTGGGGTCTTCCAGCGCCTCTCCCAGCCCTCCTTGCTTCCCAGCTCTGGGACAGGGCCCTCTCCTCTTAGACCCCAATGGGCATTGATATTTATCCAAGGACACTGAGAGTCAGTCCTCCCCGGACCTTGGTGCTGACCTCATTTGCGTTCCCGTTCCCGCCAGCACCCACCTCAACAGTCATGGTCTATTCTTTATCCCTGGTAGCTCCCGCCAAGACCTCCCGGCAGACTCCCCCCAGGGCGCTGAGCACAGGTGAGTTTGGGGTCTCATTGGGAAGGTCATGGTATGGTGGGAATGTGGGCACCCCACAGCTCAACACATCTCAGAATCAAAAACGGTCCCAGAAAGGCCTTCCCTGGGCTGTTGAAGCCCTGGGGTCTCTGGGGCTAGGGAAGGGGTCTGCCCCAGAATCAGCAGGGACTGGACCAGCCGCCCTGAAAATTTCCCATGAGAAAAAAAAAATTCCCGTGAGAAGCCCCCTCCCCTAGACAGCACCCCACCAAACCAAGCCCACTGACATTGGTCCTGCCTCTGAAGGGGGCTCTGAAAGATGGGTCAGCCTCCTCTTGCTCCCCAGAGCAGCAGGTCGGCTTTGAACTCTCCAGCATTGGCAGCCCGGTGTCTCACCCTCAGCACCATCCGGGACTCTCTCCACAGTGAGGGATGGAGACAGCTGGCCCAGCGAGGCGGGGGCTAATGCTTGGAGGGAGACACAGGCCTCCAGGCTATCTCACCAACCCCACCCTTGGACGCAGTAGCATCTCCTGGGGCGGGGCGGGGGTCGCACAGGCAGGTCTGTCAAGCCCTGAGCTCCCTGGACTTCACAATCCAGGCCCCACCTCCCAATTGGCTCTCTCCCTGGCTCCCAGCTCAGCCCACTTCCTTCTCCAGCCTCCTACAAACAGGGGCCTGGTACACTCTCTCTCCCCACTGACCACGCCCTTTGCGTTTGCCTGGCAGCCTTTACCAGGACAACCTGGCACCAGGTCCCAGCACAGACTTGGAGCAGTTTGGCCCCCATCGGAGCTGCCACCATTGCCCTTTCAGAGTGAGTCAGGGTAGGGCCACATCTGCTCAGGGGCCTCCGTGCAGGCTGCCACTCCAGCCTCATCTTCTCCCTCCTCTCCCCAGGTACCCCAGCGCCCTCAGCTCCAACGTCCTGGTCGCCGTGCTGTGTGGACAGCTCACGGCCAAGCTCTTGGGGCTGGCTGTCCTGCTTGTCCTGTGAGTGGGCAGGGGATGGCGGGGCTGGGGCGGGGGTGGGTGGGTGTTGAGCTGGCCAACTTCTCCAACTGAGACCCTCACGGATGCTCGCCATCTTGAAGGTTTATGCAGGCTCTCTGGTTTCAGCAGCGCCTTGGGGATCCTCAGAAATGAGACGGCAAACTGTCTCTCCTTCTGTCTGCTGCCTCTGTTCATCACCCCTTTCCCTTCCCTTCGCCTCTCTGACTCGCCCCCTCCTTCCTGCCCTTCTATGTGGTCTGTTTGTTTATTGTAATCGGCTCTGTTCAGTTTCCAGTTTGTTTCCTTCCTGAGCTTCTGGATGTCTTATGGGGCTGTTGGTGAAAGATGATCCAGCAAGTTCGGTTCCGATCGATTGCTCAAGGGCATTAGTTACTGGATCACAAGGGGGGTCAACATCCGCCTTATATTGTGTCCAGTGTCAGCACTCTAGTCTCCCTGCCCTTGGATAGTTCCATCCTTCCTTCTGAGTAATCATTCGTTGACTTCTGGTCTCTTACTGATGATGTCAAAGCAGGACACTGATCAGATGGGCAGGATCTCTTATTGGGTGGGGGGGGGCATTCTGTGATTTCTCTAAAAGGTGACTTCAGGAAATAGAATTGGTTCTAGATTTTCTCCTCCTGATATTCCTCTCCCCCAGCAGCCCCTGTTCCCAACCACCTCCTCCTTCTCTTTCCCCTTCCTCTCTCCCTCGCCTTTCCCCGCCACCCCGTGCCTCCAACAAACTCGAGGCAGGCAGGAAGCCAGAAGGCCCCCCATCCTCTATCCGTTCCAATCCACCTCATGCCCTCAAGTTCACTCTGACTCACAGAGACCCTGTAGGTCAGGGTAGAACGGCCTCTTGTGAGTTTCTGAGACTGTAACTCTTTACAGGAGTAGAAAGCCTCATCTGTTTCCTGAGGAGCAGCTGGTGGTTTCGAACTGCTGACTTTGTGGTTAGCAGCCCAACATGCAACCCACTGTGCCACCAAGACTCCCTGTTCCTCCCTTTAGGGGATGCCTAAATCCAGGGACTCTCAATAGCCCACATTCCAGGACTCCACCTTCTCCTGCATCCTGAGGGAGAGAGAGAAAGAGAGAGAGAGAGAGAGAGAGAGAGAGAACAGGAGGAATGGGTTATAAGCTCTGACTAAGTGAATGGTTCAAGGGGCCCTGGTGGTGTAGGGGGTTATGAGTTGGGCTGCTAGCCACAAGGTATGAAGTTCAAATCTACCAGCCACTCCTCAGGAGAAAGATGAGGCTTTCTACTCTTGTAAAGATTTACAGCCTCAGAAATCCAAAGGGGCAGTTCTACTTTGGCCTGAGTCATCATGACTTTGGTTTTGGTTTTGGTTTTTGAGTGAAAGGTGAAGGGTTACACTTAGTAGGGGAGAGAACACTGGAAATGGGCTGGAACTGGGTGGGAAGCAGCGTGGCTAGAGAAGGGACACGCCGTGGGGGAAGGGGAATGGGGTTAAGGGATGGACTGCAGTCACTCAAGGTATGTCTCCCTCACACCTCACACCTCTCAGGCTCTTGAAGAACCGACGGCCTGTGTGGCTCCAGTGGAGGTCATTGGAGGTGCCCTGCGCAGCCCAGACTGCGGACCTGCAAGCTCTCCATACTGAGCATGGGGCCCAAGATGAATGGCCGCCTCCAAGGCACTCCTTCCTCTCTGACCACCGAACTCTGCATTCCCTGCCCAAAAAAAGCCACAACCTCCCGGAACCTGACCCACAGTCCTTGGCAACAGCCTTCCCTCAGCCCAGAGTCGAGGATTCCCAGTTGGTATCTTTGGGATAGCTTCCCCGGCTTCCCCCCAAGATCCAGACCACCTGCTGGCTCCTAGGGCATTTGCACCTGAGTCAGCTTCCACCTGTGGTAGGAGCCAAAGCCCAAGACAGCATTTTCTCAGCAAATAGAACCGCACCTGTACCTCCTCCCCCATCCTCTCACTTCCTCCTGGTGTCTTTAGCCCCACAGTTCAGCCAGCACCCAGGTCACCCCCAGGCTTTCTCTGTTCCTCTCTTCCTCTCCCCTTATCCAACCACCTCTGCCATGATCACCCTGCTTGCCTCCATCCGCTGCTGCCGACCCCTCCTCCCCTCTTCAAGCCTCCTCACCACCTGCACCTGGTTGGACCGGGCACTGGGCCAGTCACCCACCTGGTGCCCTGCCTTCTGCCTTCCCCATCTTCCAATGGCAGCTCTGCTGTGTACGCTTCCCAGCGCAACAACACCTCTGTGCACTTTCACTGCAAAGGAAGTGGACTTCGGGGCCATTACTGGGGCCCATGTCCTGCCAACATCAGCCATGACTTGGTATCATGTTGTGATCGTTATATAATTTCATGTTAACTTGATGAAAGAATGAAGGGGTGGAGTCTAGCCTGTCAAGCAGGTCACAGCCTGATGCTCCCTCCCTGTGGACATGGCCCTCTCCTAAAGATTCTGGGAACTCTCTCTAGCTGCTACACATTCCTATTGACAAGCCACGTGGAGCCATGCTGATGGCAGCCAGAGCCCTGGGGATGTGTCCACCGCCACTGGATCCACAGGACTTTCTACGCACAGACCAGTGATCTTCCCGCATTCGGCATCATTGCATGTGCTGCATGAGTCTAAAGAGGAATCCATGGCCTAATATCAGACTTATGGGCTAATGTCAAACTTATGGACTTAATCAGGACTGAGCTGGGATATTTTATTGCTGCATAATTACTTCTTGATATAAAGTTCTTTCTTACACACATATGAGTGTCTCTGGATTTGTTTCTCTGGTCAACCTGGCCTAACACACGTGTCCTATGCCTCCTCCATGTTGTACTGACTACCACCAAGGTGGCTGCAGGTAAACTCCGGAAGCAAGTAAACTCCTCCTTTTTCTACACAACCTTGCAGTTGTGTAGTACCTCGACACAGCTGAGATGTCTCTGGGTTCTAGCCCAGGTCCGGGGTAGTCTTTCCTGCCTAACACTCTTAGTATCCTGATGTTGGACCTTCAGCCTCCAGCCTCCAAATTTGCCCTCTTTTCTCCCCCATTCTCCACCTGTTTTCCTTTATTTGTACTTCCTGGGAAAGTTACATCACCTTCCCTCCTCATCCTTCCCCTCAGAGGGTTATAGTTTGCTCTCATATTTTTACATTTCTGAAGAGTCTGTTTGAGCTCTGATTCTTTCCTTGATGCCATGATGTCTGACTGTGGGGTGTGGTCTTTCTGCCGACCATATTCAAGTACTAACATCTTCAAGGTTTGCGTGGTTGGGTTTGTTTGCCCCGGTTCTGTGCATGTTCGTGTCCTCTTTCTCCTTTCTTGAAAGCTTCCAGGAACACCCGCCTGCTCTCCATAGCCCAGCTGTCCTGAAGAGCGAGCCCTCAAACACTGCATTGATGGGACGTGCTGGGTGGCTGGTGGGAGCTTGGGTTCGTTCTCCAAGAAGCTGGCCTGCGAGTTCTCTGTGCGGGGGTGTGAGAAGAGGGAGGAAGGAGGAAGGAAGTGGGCAGCTGAACCATGGTGAGTCTTCACGGAAACAGAGAATCTCAGAGTCTATCTGCTACTAAAAGAGACGTTCAACTTGTCCTTGAGCTCCTGCTTCTGAGATGATTCTCTCTTATACCCAGCAGAGTGGCAAACCTGAACAATCCCCTAGTTCAGTGGTTCTCAACCTTCAGAGTGCTACTCTGCCTTCAGGGATGCTGGTGCCAAGTCCAAGGGCTAGTCCTCCTGGAATTCTGGGGTGAAGTGAAACTGCCACCTTTGTCTCT